CACCTCGACTCCCACTCCTGGCATCCGGCAGCTGCAGTAGGAGCGCGAGCCAGCGCGCTTCCGGCATCAGTCTGGCCCCCAAACCCAGAGACAACAATATCCCTTAATTGAGGAATATTCCTGAATATGAATATCCCTTAATTAAGGAATATTCCTTAAATCATATCAGGGCTCCTACTATAGAATAAGGTATATTCCTTAGTTAAGGGATAATATTGGAGTCTCTGGGAAGCCGGTGTTTCACCGGCATGGCTTCTCCCAGCCGTTACGCTCAATTCTATGAAGGAGCGCCGGCACGTCGTCCGTCTGTCGTGGATGACGCGCACCATCATGCGAAAAGTTGAGCGAGCCTGCTTGGAGGACGAGCTTTTGGCCGAGCTGCTCATGTCACAGATGGTGAACGCGAGTTATAGGATCCTTAAGGGAGGAGGGTGGTTCAAGGGGGGAGGGTATAAGGAATCCTTAGGGGACTGTAAGGGAACCTTAGGGAGTACTAGGGAGGATTAGGGATCACTAGGCTATATACTCCCCTTGGACCCCCCTCCCTTAAGGATACTACAAAGGGTCCCAGGGACCCCAAGCCCATCAGCTTCAATTGGCAGCTGTAGGCAAGTTTTGAACTTGTTAATTGACTTCAATTTCTTGAGGCTACAGGTTAAGTCCAAGCCTCAACCGCAAGTAGCCAGGGAACTCAGCAAGCAAGTTACTCAAGTAATATAGGGTCTTAACATTTTAACATTTAGAGTGGGGTTTTCAAGCCGGACCGTAAGCTAAACCAAACCCCAAACCCTGGCGCACTCTTGGAAATCGTATACCGTAAACCCTAAACACCAATCGTGAGGTCTGCATTCCACAACCCGAAATCTTAAATGCAAGAGGCCCGTTAAGTAGCGGGGTAAACTCCTAACATCAGGACACCACAACCCAAAGCCCGCAGCCTAGCCCTGCACCCCTCAACCAAAACGCGTAACACTCAAAGTCCGAAACCCAATACTCTCAAACCCCCAGTCCTGCACCCTATGTAGCCTATCCCACGATTACAGTAGAAGCCCGAATGTTGGAAGCCCTTCACGCTCAATCCTCAAGCGTAATGTAATTAAAGGGAATCCCAGCACAAATTGTCCTTAATCCGGTTTCCAACTTTTTGGGACTTACTATTGGCGTTTATGGGGTTTAGGGTATAGAGTTCAGGGTTTGCGAAATTACTACAAAGACCCCTTGAGGTACATACCTTAAAAGCCTATGCAAGCCTAAAGCCTTTGTGAAAGCTTCGAGGAAGCCCTTACATAACATAGACTAACATATTGTAACATATATATATATATACACACTCTCTAAAACACCATCGACCATTTCTAAATAAAGCACGAAACCCGAGAACGCCACATCGAAGCCCTAACCCTACAACCTGAAATCGTAAACCCTAAACCTCAAAGCCCCCAAACCTTATTTGGATTCAAGGTTTAGGGTTATTTCCATCCAGCACCCTTCAAGTACCCTTTAATAGAGCCCGTATGGTCCTTAATAGTGAGTATTTAGGGTATAACAGAGGGTAGTTGGGGGGTGCTGGTAGGGGTTTAGGGTTTAGGGTGTTAGGGTAACCTTTTTAGGATTTGGGGTTTAGGGTTATCCCATACCGAAAGCCCTACATAAATGCAGGAAGCCCTACCGCGCCGCAGTCGTGGACGCTCCGTCGAGCGACAGGAGGAGGCAATTGGGTTCCTTTACGGGTTTCTCAAAGAGGTTCTTTTAAAGGTTCCTTTAAGGGTATACTAGGTATCGATTTGGGATAACTTCTGCTTGTGTAAGGGCCTATTTGGGTTCCTGGAAAGAGGGCTTAGGGCATACCTGCCCCCTAAAGAACCTGCCTGTCTAATTTAAGGACCTATAGACGGCAACTACAAGCAGGAACCCTAAACTGAACCCTAAGCCGTAAACCCCTAAACCCAAGACCCTGAAAAGGTAGGTTACATCCACGAACTCGGTTCCTCAGTAGTACTCTTTTGTCCCCAGTAGTACGCTTTTACCGTTTGCATGTTGGGTTCTGCTTATCAAAACAGAATACTAACCCCCATTATGTTTTGGGGGTCGCTGAGGAACATAGTTCCGTATTTAGAGCCAAGCAGTAGGAGAAAGGGTACCCTGATTCTTAAGGGGCCACACAGGAACCTAGAAGACTGTTTCGGGCTTAGGGCTTCAAACTTAGGGTTTAGATTTTGTTTTTGGGTTCGGCCCCCACTCAGTAATAGTTGAATAATATTCATGATACAGATATATATTAGGATCGTAACAGTAGCCCTATCATTGACTCTTACTGTATGAGGGCAGTACCTAAGGTTTAGATTTTAAGGTTCGTGAAGGACCGGGATTCTTGAATCAGCGAAGCCTCAATAGTCACAAGCTTGAGGGACCCAAAAGGCACATAAGCATAAGCATTCTATAGATCCCGACCTTATTGGGCTTCATTATAAGGGGTGGGATATCCCTATCCTATTTTTTGCTTATGTGCTTTTTTGAGGGCCCTAAAGTTGTTTCCCTTAAAGGTTTTTTGCTATGGTGAACCTGCGATACACCACCAAAGCCCTGTTCTTATCATCCAGGGCCCTATATTAAGGATTTTGCTATCACGTCGGTAGTTTATGCCTGATTAAGAAACCCTGGCTCATATAACCCCAACACATTAGGACTCATGTAAAGAACCCTGATAAAGGCCCAAGGTTTCTTAATCAGGTTCCTACATTAAACCCTAAAACCCTAAAACCCTAAACCCGAAGCCTTTTAGAAACTTTAGAGAGCCCTTATAGATCCCTTTAAGGGGCTTGTAAACCCTAAGCCATGAGGTTCCTTCATAAACCTGTGAACTTGTCAGCCCCAACAATATCCAAGCTCGCGATTCTGCGTCCCGAAGCCCCATGAGATTCAGCGTTAGATCCTTGTAAAACCGTGTAGAGCCCTTATGATGCCCAATGAAACCCCTAGAAAGCGCTTCAGTTAAACCACCACCACCCAAAACCTGGACCCATAAATCATCGCGGAATCCTGAATCCGAAACCCAGAATCCTAAATCCTTGAATCCCATACCAACTCGCCTAGACCCAAAACTTAAGACTTAAACCTAAGCCGCAGATTTAACTCCTAAATACCAAGGTAGTGCCACTTTGCCATTTTATTTCTGGGGCCCCCTTGTTAAATTGGAACTGAATGTTTTGAAAAAGGGTACCCTAAACCCTAACCCCTAAACCCTAAACCCTAACTCCTAAACTATAAACCCTACTTGGAGGCTCATGGGGCTTAGTAAGTCAGGTTACAAGTAGGTTATACTTAGGATAACCCCACTTAGGGGACTTATAACCCCACTTATAACCTACTTACTAAGTCCCATGATCCTCCAAGTAGACCCTAAACCCTAATCCCTATAGATCCCTTTAAGGAATCCTATAGATCCCTTTAAGGAGCCCTTTAAGAACCCTAAGTCCCATGATCCTCCAAGTATTATGAAGGGCCACTCGGGAACCTAGACTCCCCCAACCAACCAACCACAGAGGCGGCTCAACCCTTGGCCCTCGGCTCCGCCGTCGCCGAACTGTGCCTCCGATCTCATCACCTTTTCTAGGGCCCTAGGGTTTAGAGTTTAGGGCTTCGGGGTTTAGGGATTCAGGGTTTCTAGGGCCCTAGGGTTTAGAGTTTAGGGCTTAGGGTTTGGGGTTTGGGGCTTTAGCGGTTTAGGGGTTCAGGATTTCGGGGTTTAGGGGTTCAGGGTTTCAGGTTTTCTAGGGGTTTAGGGTTTACCTGGACCCTAAGGAACCTGCCGTTTTAGGGTTCCCTAATATGATTTCCTTGTATATAAATCCTTAAAAAGGTGGGTTACGTGGGGTTAAGGTAGGGCTTTAGTTGTTTAGGGGTTCAAGATTTCGGGGTTTCGGGTTTGGTGGTCGTAGGGGTTGCGCGAAGGATCATGGAGGGTTTCCTTAAAGGGGTCCTTAGGTGGATTCGTGAGGGTTCTGCAACCTTTACTGCAACCTTTTTTTGGGTGGCAGTTAGTATAGCCTCTATATACTCACAAATAGATACTGGAGAGCTATCATTACGTCCCGCCGAAAGGCCATAGGTTAGGCTTGTCAGGGTTTGAGATTTGGCGTTTAGAGTTTAGGCTTTTGGGGATTTCTGTCTGGTTCTTAGTAGGGAATGGGGGAATGGATTATGGAGACTATTCTTGGGGATTATATAGGGACTACTATGGGGATCCATTCCGCCATGCCCTACTAAGCCCCAGGGAGGTTGGGTTGAGGGGCTTCGAGGATTTTCTGTTGGAATTTAAGAGTTCGCCTCCTTTAGGATCCATGGTGTGGGGGCTCAGGGTTTCTGTAAGGGTTTAGGGTTGTTTAAGGCTTGGGGTTCCTTTTAAAGTTCTGCTTGGGTTTTTGTTTGCGGTTCCTTTTGGTTCTCAAGCCCCCTTTTCGGTTCCAAGTTTAGGTTGAGCAGCTGAAAAAGACCCGTTATTGAACAACGCACACCCTTTAGTTCAGCGCATGCAATACTCGGTAGGATCTAGGTATGGTTCGGTGCTTGCCCGTGGATCCAAGAATCCTATACCCTAAACCTTGCCGTTTTTCTGGTTGGCTCTTAGGACTCTAATTTTTTGGGTTTCTATATGAACCAATATAAGGAGGCTAAAAGTTTAACTTTTTGAAGGGGTTCAGAAGTCAGCCAAGAAACCCTAAACCTAAGTGTGTGCCGGGCAAGCATGGGGTCGTACAGGTTTTTCCCTACAGGGAGGGAACCCTACAGGCCCCATAAGCCCTACACGCCCGAAACCCTAAATCCTAAGCCGTAGTCCCAAAGCAAATCCTCTTTAAACGCCACACCCCGAACTAAAGGAACCCTCATAGGATTTCTTAAGAACTCTTATAGATCCCTTAAAGGAACCCTCAATTTAAAGATCCCTTAAGGTATTGTTCATGAAGGTGTAGGAAAGGGGCTTTAATCAAGCTTCCGCCAAGGCCCAAAAATTCGAAGATGATGCCAATGCCAAGAACGTTCAGCGTCGCAGAAGTGCTGCGAAGGCCAATGACTGGGCACACGAGCTCGAAGACCATCATGCCCAAAAGAACGACCGTGACAAGTTCTGGCACTGCGCCCGATGCCTTTGGACGGCCAAGCGACAGGTTGTTCAGATATGCCTCGGCGCAAAGAAAGAGGGCAGCCTATGTATGATATCTGACATTGGTCACGTGAGAGCGAACGGAAAGAACTCTCACATGAATGCCCTGGTTTGCTTGAGCACCTTCAGGATGTCCCTCACTTCTCCGTGAGACCGCGGGCGAATGTGTTCTAATTACCAATACTGTTCCTTAGGGTTCCAGATGTCATTATAGTATACATGAAACATCAGGTTTCTAGGGTTCCTTTAAGGGTTCCCAGAAGGGCTTCGTTAGTGTTTCTATAAGGGGCTCCGTTAAAGTGTCTAGGATTTTGGGGATTGGGTGCAGGGTATAGGATTCTAATAGAAACGGGTTCCTTGAAAGGGTTTCTGCGGGGTTTCTGTGGGGTGTTGACAGGTTTTTTTTTGTTTTTTTTACGGGTGTCGGGTCTACGTACGGTTTCAACATGATTTTTTTGCTTAGGGTTCCTATGCAAATTAACCCTCAACCCTAAACTCTCCCTGCTTCCATGCCCAGAGCTACAGCTCTGATGAAGCCACGCCAAGCCCTAAAGCCCTGGAGCCATAAGGCTGGTTGTCGAAATGGCCCCTTTTTGGGTACCCTAAATATTAGGTGCCTTTTTAAAGTAGGGCCCCAAATGGGACACTAATTTTGACAATCACCCTAAAATCAAGATTTGGATCCCTAAAGCCCGGCCCCGCCCCAGCCCCCGATTGCTATGCCGTTTCTCGGAAGTGTCAAGCCTCAGCTCTAAACCCTGAAATCCTAAAACTATAGCCCCGCAGGCTAAGTGCCCCGATCCTCCAAGCAAGCTACGAGGTTCCCAAGAACGCCCTTAACCCCCAAACCCTAAACCCCTAAACCCTAAACCCGAAACCCTAAACTCCCTAAACCCCCAAACCCTAAACCCCAAAACCCTAGACCCTAAACTCCCTAAACCCCCAAACCCTAAACCCCTAAACCCAAAACCCTAGACCCTAAACTCCCTAAACCCCCAAACCCTAAACCCCAAAACCCTAGACCTTAAACTCCCTAAACCCCCAAACCCTAAACCCCAAAACCCTAGACCCTAAACTCCCTAAACCCCCAAACCCTAAACAACCCTAGACCCTAAACTCCCTAAACCCCCAAACCCTAAACCCCAAAACCCTAGACCCTAAACTCCCTAAACCCCCAAACCCTAAACCCCAAAACCCTAGACCCTAAACTCCCTAAACCCCCAAACCCTAAACCCCAAAACCCTAGACCCTAAACTCCCTAAACCCCCAAACCCTAAACCCCAAAACCCTAGACCCTAAACTCCCTAAACCCCCAAACCCTAAACCCCAAAACCCTAGACCCTAAACTCCCTAAACCCCCAAACCCTAAACCCCAAAACCCTAGACCCTAAACTCCCTAAACCCCCAAACCCTAAACCCCAAAACCCTAGACCTTAAACTCCCTAAACCCCCAAACCCTAAACCCCAAAACCCTAGACCCTAAACTCCCTAAACCCCCAAACCCTAAACCCCAAAACCCTAGACCCTAAACTCCCTAAACCCCCAAACCCTAAACCCCAAAACCCTAGACCCTAAACTCCCTCAACCTCCAAACCCTAAACCCCAAAACCCTAGACCCTAAACTCCCTCAACCTCCACAGTCCCAAACCCTAAAACCCGAGGTGGCGAGGCCTTCGGGCTTTACAAGCCCAGCAGCTCGAACAGGCCGTGGTTTTTGGGTCCTTAGTAGCTGAGTGGATACACTTTACACTTGTTGGGATACTATTACCCACTATAAAGCTGAAAGTGTACACTTTTTGGGGCTTATGAATTCAGCAACGGTCGGTGTTTTCAGTTTTTCAGGGCTTCGAGGCTTCTGGTGTTGTTGGGGTGTTCGGGGTTTGCTTTAGGTACTGTTACTGTCCCCATACAGTAAGAGTCTATAATAGGGCTACTATTCAGGTCCTAATATACCTAGATTATGTCAACTATTACTGAGTGGGGGCCGTACCCAAGTTTTGCTGCTTTTGTGGTTTGTGCGTTTGGTGGTTTAGGGTTTTTTCAATGGATTTAGGGTTCTGGGTCGAGTGGGATCCTGCTTGGAGGTCTAGGGGATCGCAATGGCTTCTTCTTTGAAGGGAATTACTGGGTTCTTGTTAATTAAGGGATTTGATTTAAGTTAGCAGAATAGGGGTTTACAGTAAATACAATAGTTTCCCTACTATGGTAACTGAAAACAACCCTAAACTAGGATGCCCAGTACTAACCTTATTCCCTTTTTGTAGTCCTAGGTTCCTTAGAAAGTTACCCGATACCAAAAAGGGAGCCCTTTTTATTCCTAGGGCATCCTAGTAAAGAACCCTTAAACCCCTAAACCCTAAACCCAGTTTAGGGCGGGTTTGGGGGGTCTTGGGTTTAGGGTTCGAAGTTCCGGAGACTTGGCTTGCGAAGGTCCTTCTTCAGGAAGCCTAATAGGGAACCCCAAATAGCAGGGAACCTTGGGTGCAGGTTTTGAGGGGTCTGGGGCCCGGGTGGGTTCAAGTGCGGATAGCATAGTGCAATTTAGCGGATTTGGTCTAGAAGACTTAAGATTTGGGCCGGGTAACAGAGTATTTATGTTGGGTTATTGGATGGGATTTTATATAGTTGGGGGGCACTGTGCGGGAAGGTAGTTTTGTTCGCAAGAAACATACGGTTTGGATGTGAAGGTTCAGGCAAAAAAGCAGTAAAGGATAAGTTGTTAGGGGCCGTTCGGGTCGGTCGTTCGTCGTTCGATTCTTCTTGGTCCTCGAGCACCTCATCTGCGACTGGTGCTCCTTGCATGTTTGGGTTCTTAGTCAGCAGTTCGTTTGCATGCACCAGGGCGTTTTCCATTGCTTTGCACATATCATGAGGGACCTTGACGATAGCAGCATTTTGCTCCAAGAACTTCCTGAGACCCCGTGCTGGAATTGCAAGGCTTAGGATCGCATTTCACAGCTCATGTCACAGACTTTTCACAGATTCTCACATTTTCAGGGACGTTCGGATATCGGTAAAGGTCGTTCGGTCTTCAGGCTGTTCGGCTTCTGGGTGTGGGTCGTTCGGTTAGGAGTTTTTGTTGGCCTTTCGTGGTCACTCGCCATGGCTGGACGTCAGGGACCAAGGGCGACGAACGAGGACCTCGAGTACACGACGTGCGAGGATCGCATCGACGAAGGCCCATGGTACCACGGGCCGTTGATCGTCGCTTGGGGTGCGGAGGAGATGTACCACCCCTCGGGTCGTTCGGGGTCCATCGGCGACTAGTCTTAAGTTATTCATGTTGCCTTTGACGAGTGGAGTTTTGTTTGGGTTTGTGATTTTAGTTGCGAAGCTGAGGTCAAAAGGGTCACTCGTGCATGCCTTGGTTTTTGAAGAAGCGGTGGCTCGACGTCGAGGGGACCCATGTCACTGTGGACGTTCGTGGCATTTGGAATTCGGACGTCAAGGCACGAGAGTCCTGCCCTCCAGGACTGCCCTGTGAACTGTGTGACTAGGTTTTGTTTTTGCTGCAGTTATAGATCGTGTGCACGGTGCCCCCTGTTGAGGAAACCCGCTGGTCAAGCTGGCGACGTTCAATGGGCCGTTCAGCCAGCCGGAGTACCAGCCGTGCTTCGAGCTCCTTTGCCCGATTGTCGAGGCCTTGTCGAAGATCGATGGTCGTTCGATCCTGCAGATCATCTGTTTCTGGATGCATTAGTGTCGTGTGTCGTTCACGTGTGGTAGTTCGTCGGGCCTTTCGGGTTTTGTGCCTCTGCTCAGTATTGCGAGGCTCACACGGCCGCAATCGGTCTGCGACACTCGGCGTGGGTTTGTCGGCGGTCTACGACATTCCGGTGTGGCTTCCGACTTTCGGGGGCCTTCAGAAGGAATGGTGGGCGATCGCGAAGTTGCCGGACGACGTCATGGGGTCGCTCAGGCAGTACCAGGCGGTCGCTCGTGGCCCCGTGCCGCCGCCTACGGCCCCGCCGTTCGACGGTGCCGGCCGCGACTACGGCCACGGCGTCTTCGATCCCAATGGCTTGGAGGGGTCGATGCCGTCGGTCGGGAATGCGGTCCTCGATGCCGCCCCTCAGCTTAACTCAGGTGTGTCTCTGGGTTTGTGCGTTTTTTGGAGTTAGCAAGTTAGGTTCGTTTGGACGTTTGGAAAGTGGCACCGTCGGTCCTCATCGAACTGGACCAGCTCCAAATCGACGAGCGTTGCATGCGGGTCACTCGGATGCATCAGTCAGTGTCGCTCGTCGCTCGGATGCACATATGTTAATCTTTCACACTCAACTAAGTCGGTCGCGAACCTGGCCGGCCACAGTGACGATGGGGCGAAGTTCGTGCGGGAGCTCTTCCAGGTCATTCAGCGAAACTTGGTTGCAACAGTCATGTGGGGGATGCTTTTTGTGGTCGTTCGTAGGCGGTTCGGAAACTGAGGCGAGAACTCCGACCGCTCGCAGTACGACAACCCGGCGGCCGCCATCACCTCGGCCGTTCGTAAGGAGCTGGACCGCCTTCGCCCAAACATTCCAGGACTGCCGGGTCGCTCGGGCTTTTGTTAGTGGGTCGCTCGTTCTGGTTGTCTAACTTATCCAGCAAATCAGCTTAGCAAGCCCAGGCAGCAGCGGCGACCGCCCTCCGGCGAACCTCGGGCCACATGCTCGGGCGGTCAATCGAGGGACTCCACCTGGTCCGCCGCCCCGAGATTTCGTGGACGATCGCCGTGACCTGAAGGCATTCAAGTAAGTAAGGTTCAGGGGTCACGACTGATAAGATGATTGTTTCTAAAGTGATGAGTCGAGGTCCTTTCTACGACGATCGTCAGTTCTACGACGATCGTCGTGGCTATGCTCCGGACGATCGTCGTTATGATCCTCGGGACGATCGCCGCTATGGCCCTCCTCCGGACGATCGCCGTGACGATCGTTACGACGATCGCGATCGTCGTCCCTATGGCCCACCGGACGATCGCCGTGACGATCGTTGGGCGAACTATCGCCCCCCGGGCCGCCGCCACTACGAGGATGACGAGCGGCTCTCGGACCCGGGGCACCCCAGTCGTCCGGCGCCTCACTGGCTGGACCGTCGTGGCGAGCCCGTGCCTTGCTTGCAACTTTAGAGTTTTGGTCGTTCGGTTGTGTGTGTGTGTGTGTGTGTGTGTGTGCCTTCGCTGGTGCTTGGAATCCAGGATCCCCGCCGTCGCCGATACGACGACTATCGCTAGGTCGTTCGGCGTGGGCGATCGTGGTGACTTGTCTCTTGCAGCTGTTGGATTGCTTGTGGTATGGTAAGAGCGGCGAGTTAATCAATTAATAGTCTGCTGTGACTGACCCGACTCAGGCACCAGGGCCACATGATCGTTGCTCCACCATTTTGCCACAGCGGCCGTTCGTGGAGCCAAATTTTGGCGACAACCGGGCACGTGCCCGTGCCATGCAAAGCAGCCGAAAAAGGAGCTGGCCGTACTTGTGCAATGGTCTAGTCTTTCGTGCTTTGCGAGTGTGTGCTGCGATTTCCTTTTGCGTGGCAGGTGCTGGGCCGTTCGATGTCGAAGCAGGCCGGTTCTGGAGAAGCGGCTGGGTCCTTGGGTCTTTCGGAGTTCAGTGGTTTCCAGCAGTTCTGGTTTAGGTCGTTCGCCGAAACTCAGATTGCGACTTTCGTGCCGTGCCCGAGTGCTTTGTGCAGCTGAGCTGGTGGTAGCTTTAATTAATTTAAATAATATAGAGCCTAGAATTGAGTCTAAGTTTAATTTATAATTGGAATATATGCAATAATAGTAAGGAAGCCTAAGCCTAAGCTTGGGACCCAAGCTCCAAAACCCCATTACTAAACAATTTAACAATCAACTCGTGCATCCGCCCCTTTCTACCTGGGCCCCAACTCACATAACAAACTGCAATCCTGAACCTTGGCTGCAAAATTCGCAAAAGCACATCGGCAACTATTAGGGCAACACATAGAGGTATTGTGTATCGTCTTTATATGTAGTACAGAGCCATAAGACATTGCAATATATTTCAACATATTTTGGTTCATCATAGTAGTCACCGCAATAGCCCATGCAACAGTGAGTAGCCTGCCACACACCAAAATCCCAAAATAAAATCACTTTGTAGCCCCACCCTCATACTAAAACAATGGTGCAATTAATCCACCCTTAGGCTTGAAACAGGTTTGCACCAGTATTTTGATTTTACCCTGTATCGCCTCAACCGTATAGCTTTGGAAGGTGGGACGATCGTGCGGGGCGATTCCCGTCGTTGAGGTCGCTCGCAAGGCCGGTTTTGGTCGGTTGGTTTTTGACTTTGAAGCAGAGCCCCAAATCTCCGGTGTGGCAGTGCTGTAGCACAAATTCAAAGTCCCAAGGCTCCCAGCCCCAGGGTCGTTCGGATTCATTGATTAATCAAGGATAGACGTTGCATCAAACCCCGTGTGAAAGGAATCCTTCAGATGTCAATGTCACTGCTGTGCCAGTGATCGATGTGCCTGCGAAAGTGTGCATTTCCATTGTAAGGGCTCGTGCTCAGGATCGCATAGTTAGGCTTGCTTGGCAAAGTCCATCCTCTTAGGGTCGTTCGTGGCCCTTCGTCGCTAGCATGGCCAGGGCGAGCATGGGCAAAAAGAGGGCGGTTGCCGTTCGCAAGCAGCAGGAGAAGGCGGCCGTCCGGAGGAGGCAGAAGGAAGAGAAGCTCGCCAAGCGTAACGAGAAGACCTTCGCCAAGAGCTTGGCCAACTTCCACGAGTCGTCGTTCGAGCGAGCCAGGGCGTTCGTCGACAGCCAGCTCGACGATAACCCGGCTTGGATCCGCCCTCTGGCGGATCTAATCCGGGATGGCGCCCTCCAAGCCTTGCTGAAGTCTCCCGGGGCGACCGGCGATCAGTCAGGCAGATCGGCGGGTCCAGAGAAATGGGTCGGGAAGGCCAAGTCGTTCGGCGAGTTGCCCGACGAAGTCAAGGTCTTCATGCTCGAGGCCATCGGCGTGCGAATGTCCGAGACGGGGGTTCCGGCGGACGTTCTGAACGGCTTCTTCTCGATTCAGTTCTTCGTCCACGAGGACGTCCCATTGCCTGCAGGGTCTAGGTCGTTCGAGGTCTTGGAGAAGCTGGCCAAGGAGCGGTTCGCTGCCTTGAACAACCACAAGGTGGCCCCGTCCGTCGACAAGGACTTCGACGGCAACTGCTGGGCACTCGACGACGGTTCCGTGACTTTCGCCCTGACCGGCGACGTTCAGAAGCTCCCTGCCCTCTCGGAGAAGGACGTTTGGGTTTTGGACCATCAGGACTGCCCATGCGGCCGAGTCTACTCGCAGGCCAACCCAGCAGTGGCGTTCGAGTGCCGGACGTTGTTCCCGGATGTTCGGGAGATTGATCCGAAAGCCAAGTGGGCGTTGAAGAAGGCCAAGAAGGACTGAGCCGGTCTCACGGGGTAGGCCTTTGTCGTTCGAAACAATGGCCCTTTTCGGGTGGGGCTCCTTGCAGGATTTGAGTCAAGGACATGGGGTATGGCAGATGGAAGAAGAAAGAGCTGCGTGCATTGGGGTCGTGTGTGCGTTTCAGCTTTTTGGTGGTGCGTTTCAGGTGTTTTTCAACTTTTTCCCAGGGTTTTGGTAGTGTGCTGAACAATAGGGCCCAAGTTGGACATTTCGGGGCGTTAAGGGTTCCTCTGTTAGGGACACGAACCCTTTAGGGTGTTGTATGTGCGTTTCAGCTTTTTTGAGGTGCGTTTCAGGTGCGTTTCAGCTTTTTCCCAGGGTTTTTGCTGCGTACTGAATAATAAGGCCAAGGTTGGACACTTCGGGGCGTTAAGGGTTCCTCTGTTAGGGACACGAACCCTTTTAGGTGTTGTATGTGCGTTTCAGCTTTTTTGAGGTGCGTTTCAGGTGCGTTTCAGCTTTTTCCCAAGGTTTTTGCTGGGTTTTAAACAAGGGGTCGGAAACTACTGCGGACAGGCTCTGGCCACAGCGACTGCGGCCCGGTGCTCGGCTCCCCGTGGCTCGCTGCTCCTTCAGGCTGCTGCTTTGTGTTTCGGCAGTGTTGACTTTGTCTGTTGGTTCCGAAGACAGCCCGTGCTCAAGGCTAAGGGGTTGTCAGTCGAGGCAGAGTCGTGCACAGTTGCGAAGTGCGAGGAAGCCAGAACATCCCCAGGACTTGTGGCCAGAGTGTAAGAACCACAGGCAGTGCAGCGGGCAGACCACATTTCAGGTGTAAAGTTTGTAGAGCTTTAGGCCGTTCTCCGTCCATCATGGCGGCGGCCCAACAGGCAAGGGCCGTTGGAGCAAGCGACGTTCGAGAAGCACCGGCGGATGGAGACAGGGACGTGCGAGCTGTGGTTCTCCCCTGCGGCAAGAAGGGGTCCTTCAAGGGCGAGGTGTACCAGTTTCGCCGGCCCATCGCGGCGGCGGATGGCCGCTCGAATCCAGGAGTGTTTTTCTGGATCTTCCGGTGGATCCTTGACTTTTTGGGCGGCACTCAGAGTCACAACTTCGGCGGCCGCAGTCGCGACGTCATCGCCTCCCGTACGTCGTCCGTTCTGGCCGACGGCCTGTCGTCCTCCGAGGACGAGGCGATGGTGGATGGCGAAGAGGCCGAGGACATTCTGCCTTCTGCGGAACAGCACATGACTGCATCATCCATGATGACTCGCATCCAGCAGGTCCAGGATCAGAACAAGGGGTCAAAGAGGACCTCGCAGGACGAGTTGAAGGGCGAGGTCAAGGGCGAGGTCAAAGGCGAAGTGAAGGAAGAGGGCCAAGCCGACGAGGTCGACGAGGACGGTCCTCTCCAGAGAGGTGACTTCAGCCTCTCGTCGTTCGCTTGTCTTTGTTGGCTGGCCCAGCTGATGTCCAAGGGCACCCGGGCGAATGCGAAGTGGAACTTGGATTCAGCCGAGATCCAGGCCAGGGCAGAGGCCCTTCTCTGTGGCATGCGGGACTGTTTCTGGCAGGACGTTCGGAAAGGCCACTTCGTCGTGGTCGAGGGCGACTTGTCGGTCGAGACCCTCGTCACCGCGAAGGTGGGTCAGATGGCAGCAAAAATTTTTGCCAAGCGAAAGACCGTGCCAGTCGTAGAGGCTTTGAAGATCTTACAACAGGATGCCGGTCGAAGGAGCCTCTCTGGCGACCGTCGGCGTGTGGCCGAGAAGATCTTCAGTCGCTTGGTCCGGGCACTCGCAGATGCCATCGACGACTCTGCAGGAAAGACAGTCTGGACGGCCAATCGAGTGGAATCCTTGGACCAGCTGAGGACCCTAAGGGTTTGCGGGTGGATTGCTGGATGCCAAGCCAAATCCTAAACTTCCTAAACCCTGCAAATCACAACCCAGGGACCCTTTAGGGTCTTGTATGTGCGTTTCAGCTTTTTTCAGGTGCGTTTCAGGTGCGTTTCAGCCTTTTTCCAAGGTTTTTGCTAGGTTTTTTAGACACCCTGGATATGCAGGACTGCCAGGGGCTATCGCAAGGCCTCACATGGCTGCCAGGAGGCCGTTCTGCAAGCTGGTTCGGAGGCAGGTCCCTCGATAGCAGCGGCTCTTCAGGCCCAGTCGCACTTCGCCTCTTCGGCGACCGGGGAGCAGCAGGGCAAGCGAAACAAGGACCGACCCGGGAAGTTCTTGGAGGCGGAACGTCTCTCGTACGTGGCCGCAGGTCGGCAGACGTTTGCGGCAACTCGGGTCCTCAGCGTCGTCGCCGATGCCGTTCACGTGGGCCAGGAGGACTGGTTGAACGTCTTTCTGTGCGACACCGAGCAGGACTTGTCCTTCGTGTGCCCCCAGCAGGCCGCCAAGGGAGGGCTTGCTATAGAGGGATTTCTGTCCGCGGGTTAGGTCCAGTTTCGGTGCCGCAAAACCATACACTAAACGCTCCCTAGAGTCGACCATACATTTTAGGGTCCCTAAGCAAACCTGCAGTTATCGGCCCCTGCCAAAACCATACACCTAACGTTCCCTATTTCGCTTTTTGCCAGCCGGCGGATTTTCCCGGGCACCCGCCCTTGCCTTCTAGCATGATCACTGCCTTCCAGGCAAAACCATACACCTATCGCTCCCTAGCAAAACCATACACCTATCGTTCCCTAAGGGCCGCCCTCGCAAAACCATACCCGTATCGTTCCCTAGGTTTCGTGGTCCAAAACCATACCGTTTTGGACCAAAATTGGAGCCCTTTTTGGCTTCGCAGGGAGGCTGCAGGAAGCCCTTTTGTCGAGCTTGTTGCTGCGTCTGCTTTTGCGTGACGGACGTGTTCGTTTTCGTGTTTCTCGTGCGTTTAAGAGCAGTACAGCACCCGAGGTCACAAACTCTGAAGCAAACCGCAGGTTTTCAGTTCGCTGTGTCAGGTTGGCTACTATATAGCCTTGCAAATGCAGTTGTTGAGGGCTGTGGGGGCGGGTTTAGGCTGTCGGACCGGAACCATTACTACACGGCAGCAGGCAAGGCTTCAACGTAATGATCTGGTTTACAATAGAAGTAGAACGAGTTAAGAGCTGTGTCTGTAGGTTTTTTTTAAAGTGTTTCGTTTTTTCGAAGTACAAGATAGCAAGTTTTCTGCTTTCCGCAGGTCAAGAAGGGGACGGCCATCACCTCGGAGGCTTGGACAGACATGTGGCAAGGCCGCTTGACGAGCTTTTTCCGGAAAGTTGGCACGAAGGGTCGCTCGGCGGACAAGGCCACCGGTGGGGTCAGGCAGCCTGAACGGCAGGCCACTCAGGAGTGGCTTCGCGACCTCTCGCACAGCCTCGCGGTCGTTGGGTGGTCCTGGTCGTGCTGCCGGAGGACGACCGACGAGGCCAGGCCGTTCGTCTTGGTCCTTTGCACGGACCAAGAGGCCACTCAGCTGGCAGCCGCCAACTACCTGTCGTTCGGCCGGCAGTTGTTCGTGCAGCACGTGCCCGACCCGGCCCACCGCTCGCACAACGACGTTCACCTGGCCATGGCAGCGGCCGGGCTCTTGACGTTCAGCATCGTGTCCATCGGGCTGTACAACGTTCGCTATGGCCCCTGGAATAAGGGGACGTGGTTCGGGAAGGTCCAGACCATGGCCGACGAGATGAGCCGCTCGATGTCGCCGTCGGACCCGCTGCTCCTCGCCTTCTTCCCGGACATTCTCGCCGACCAGGGCCGTTCGCAGGACGAGAACACGGAGGAGTCGCGACGTGCCTTTCTCGAGTCGCTGCCGAACAGGTCGTTCGTCAGGAGCAAAGGCAGCAAGGCCTCTCAGTCCAGGTTCAACAGCCTCAGCACGGCCCATGCCGAGCTCGACAGGGACTGGTCGGCGTTCTGCCTCGTCCTCGTGGTCATTTGCGTGGCGGAAGGCTGGGCCAAGTCTGCGGCCGACCTTTGGACTCCCCAGAGTGAGGTCGCCGAGAGTGCGGGCTCGTCCAGGGCTGCTGCCAAGTCCGCCGCTCGAAAGGCCTTGCAGAAGCAGCGAGGCCGTTCGGTGAACACTCTGCATGGCATGACGATGTTCGCTTGCAACCCGGACAACAAGTCGCTCGCCCGGACAGTGTTTTTCGTCCTTGGGCCAGAGGGCGTTCGCTGCTCCAAGATGCTCGAGGACTTGCGATCGGCGGAAGCGACAGTCAAGCAGTACTCCGAGTGGGCACACTGGGAGTACATGACGGTCGCTCACGAACACGTGGCCAAGCTGTCCAATCTCGCCGCTCTGCAGCGGATTGGATTGGACATGTCCATGCTGCTGCCGGAGGAGGAAGCTCGAGAGGCGGCCGTCACCTGGCAGGATGCTGTGGCTCGCAGGGTCGTTCGTCTCACACAGCGGCTTCTTCGGTACCGGTGCGGCAGCCAGCTGCCTGCGACGAACGGTTGGGGGTCCACGGCTGGCCTTCTGCACCAGTCGACGGAGGCACGGCGTGCGAGCTTGAGCTTCCTCGCAGACGTGGACAAGACGGTGCAGGCTGTTCAAAAGGAAGGGTCCCTCGAGGCCAAGCTGCTGCTCGAAGGCCACCCGGCCACGGGGCCAGTCATGGCTTTGGTGCTGTCCGAGCTGCGAGCAGAGTCGTTCGTTGAGGTTGCTGCGGACACCTTGGCCTTTTTGCGTCGTTTGTGGTCCGGCCTCTTGAACAGCAAATTGGTCGAAGATGCAAACAAAGTGCAGCGTGAAGCAGAGCAGAGGAACGGGACGTCCAAGACCATCGGCCGCTTGGAAGGGTGGCATGGGCTTACGAGGAAAAAGTTGCTCGAGGCGGGCTACAAGAGGCCAGAGGTTGCCTGCGGTGCCATGTCCGTCGTTCCCACGAAGTTCGAACCGGACCAATGGTTCCAACGGCCCAAGCGACTCCGTATGGCCGACAGTTTGGCCTCGGCGTCTACTGCTTCGACTGTCGAGGAGGTGAGCGACCAGTCTCTCGAAGAGGACATTCTCAAGGGCGTCAGCCTCGCGAAGACTTGGGCCTCGCACACACCCGAGTCGGAGCAAGACAGGCTTGCCAGCTTCTCGCTCTTGACCAAGGTTGTCAAGCAGGGCATGGATTGGACGTTCGTGGAGCAAGGCTGGTGGGCGTCCTTCGCGCCCGAAGGCCACGGACTGCTGTTTCCAGGGATGCCGCCGTGCTACGTGGTTCGCAGCTACAAGCGTGCAGCTCTCGTTTGGCCGGCCAAGCTGGAGAAGCTGGCCGAATGCGAGGAGATGCTGGTGCTGGACCCGGAGGCCCCTTCGCTGTGCTGGCTGCACTTGTACAACGACGAAGTGGAGGTTCTGGACCTCGTTGCGACCTCCCCGCAGCGTGGCCTGTCGCACTTTTATTTGAGGACATCCCAATTCACGAAAGCTTTTATTGGTGAGGTTAGTTTTGGCCACCAAGAAGTTCCATGTGCCCGATCGCATACAGGTAGATTCTTAACTCCCTATATCTGATATAGGGCCAATTAAACTTCCACTCACAGACCCTTTACAGTCCTGTAGGTGCGTTTCAGCTTGTTTGAGGTGCGTTTCAGGTGCGTTTCAGCTTTTTCCCAGTGTTTTTGAAGCGTTCAAAGCAATAAGGGCCAAGTTGGACACTTCTGGACGTTAAGGGCTGCTTTGTTAGGGAAACGAACCCTTTACAGTCCTGTATGTGCGTTTCAGCTTTTTCGAGGTGCGTTTCAGGTGCGTTTCAGCTTTTTCCTAGGGATTTAGCTACGTTTTCACTCTTTTAGGGTTTTGGTTTAAAAATAAAGCCTTTCAATCAAGAAACATACAACCAGGTCTGCGGCTGCTCGGTGAGACTCGGCCTCTCGGAGTGGCCCTTCGTGTGCAAGCCAAAAGGCCGCTGCTCCGCCACCACGAGGTCTACGGCTTCGCAGGCGTGGCCGAGTGGGGCCTGCGACGTCTGGTCCAGAGCAAGGGCTGGTCGCTCGAGGCCTCGGACGAAGCCGGCCACGAGGAGGACGACCGACTGGCTGTTGCCTGCTTGCTCTCCTTGGAGGCCAGTCTGACCAAGGACGAAGTCGTCGCCCGAATCCTGTTTCGGCAGGATGCGGCGACGTGGGCAGGCGAGTATGGCGAGCTGGACCTCGCGGAGGTCGTTCGGGACACGATGCTGTCGGCGGACCAGGAGGTGGCCTTGCAGCAGATCGCCAAGCGAAAGGCCACTCACCAGACAGCTGTTCAGGTTCGCCAGCGAGTGTCCAAAACCTTCGACTACGTGTCTAAGAAGTTCGCCAGCAGGCCTGAATTCAAGAAGGCTGCGGCAGCTCGAAAGGCCAAGGAGAAGAAGGCCGAGCAGAAGAAGAAGGAGCAGGCCACCGAGATCAAACGTTGCTATGCCCTCGTGAGCTCGGACGTGGACAAAGCTGTCAAGGCCGCCGTGCCTGCCGCCGTTCGGGTCTACACGGACCCTCCCAATGGGCGGTGGAAGCTCAGCTACAGCACGGCGTGGGCGTGTGCGAGCCGGTCCATTTCGTGGACAGCCATCGGCAGCAAAGCTGGCGGGGCAGAAGTCCTTCGGCAAGCTTGGTCTTGGGCCGAGACCTTCGACGGCCTCGACATCACGGACGAAGCGGCCGCGATGTTGCAGAAGCTCGGAGCCTAGCCTAGTGCAGACCGAGTCGTTCCGAGCCCTGGGTCGCTCGGACATTTTTAGGGTCTCTCGGAAAGCAGAGACCTGAGGCGGTGGCTGAAGCAGCCGGGCCGATGCAAGCTTCAGCCGTGAGGGGTGACGAAGAATAAAGAGGGAATTCTCCGTGTTGCCTCTGCACCTGCCTGCATTCGCCTCCTCTAGCCGTGTAAGTTTAATTAATTGCCCATTGCTTTCCGCCCAGGCCAGATCGAGCACGACTTCCAGCTGGTGGAGCTCCGCACACACGAAGCACGAGGCGGGCCCTTGCCACACTCTTGCGTTGCCTTTGCAGTCAGCCTGTGTCAAAGTGTGAGAAGAGCTGTCTGTTTGCAGCAGAGCCCGTGCTCCCAGACTACAGAGCTTTGAGGACTTGCACGTTTCGTAGTTGTGTTTCTCAAGCGTTTTTTTGCCTTGGTAGCGATGGGTCGAGCGACTTTGGCCGAAACCGGCGGCGTGAGGCCTGCCAGCGCCTATGCTCTCTTTTGCAGCTGGGTCGCTCGCGAGGGGCTCTCGTCCGATCGGGCGGCCAGGTTTCGCATCCGTGGAAAGCGTATGGTGCGGAATGGGCCGGCCATCCAGAAAAAGTGGACACTCGGGCTTTTGTTTAGCATTCACCTTATTAGCAGTGTCAGACAATGGTGCGTTTCAGCTTTTCTGAGGTGCGTTTCAGGTGCGTTTCAGCTTTTTCCCAGGGTTTTTGAAGCGTTCAGAGCAAGAAGGGCCAAGTTGGACACTTCTGGACGTTAAGGGCTGCTTTGTTAGGGAAACGAACCCTTTACAGTCCTGTATGTGCGTTTCAGCTTTTTCGAGGTGCGTTTCAGGTGCGTTTCAGGTTTTTTCTAGGGTTTTCCATAGGTTTTTATTAAAGGTGTGGCTTTGCAAGCTCTCAAGGGACTGTTCTTGGGTTGGTGTTTTTTCCTGCAGGCTGTACAGGTCGTTCTCAGGTTTGTCTCTTGTCAGACAAAGCCCCAGCATAGCCCTTGGACAGACCCTAAGAACTGGTCCACAGCAGCCGCATAAAATTGGGCAGTTTGAAGTCCTGGAACTTGGTTGCCTCGGACCTACGGCAAAAGCTCAGAAGCAGCAATACAGGTAGAGATTACGGGGTTCAGAACAAACAGGTTGTCAAGGAGTTTCGCCCGGCCCATCCCTGCCCCTGACTCAAAAATTATTTTCGAGAACAGCCCCAAGCCCAAGCTCCGCTGCACTCAGGCGCCACAAGAAAAGCAAGGACCTTCGGGACCACTTCACGGCCCAAGCAAAAAAGGCCTACGAGGACAACCGTGCCAAGGCAGAGGCCTTCAGGACGGCCCAAAGCCGGGAACTTTTGCCAAGCGAACCTCTTGCAGACGAGGAGGCCGTGGCTGTCGAACTCGAGGCCGACCGTGCGAGGACGGAGCTGTTCAACGACTCCTGGACCTGGACACTCGGAGTGGCCGTTCGCGACCTGACAGAGGTGAGCAGTGGGGTCAGCGGCCGGGTCTTCGTCGGGTCCTTCGCAGGCCAGCCGGTGGCCCTCAAGGTGGCCTTGGGTCGGGGATTGCGAGATCCCATGCAGAGGGCGGCCGCTGGTGGGCTGGACGTGGCAGAGGAGTTCGCCATCTTGGGGGCGCTCGGACAGCACCCCAACGTGGTTCGGGCCTTCGGCGTTCTGACGAGCTCTCTCGGAAAAACCGCTTTGCTCCTCGAGAGGGCGCCCGAGAGCCTGCACGACATGGCCTGCCGGCTCCAGGCCGACCGACTGGAAACTTCGCCGGCCGGGAAGGGCTCTCTGCTGCAGCTCTTCCAGCAGTTCCTCCTTGGCCTGTCGTTCGTGCACGGCCGTTCGATTCTGCACTTGGATGTCAAGCCCAAGAACATCCTGGTCTTCGACGGCGTTCGTGCAGCACTGGCGGACTTCGGGCATTCGGAGTCTGCTTCGGACGGTGCCTGCTCGGTCGTCGGCGATCGCGTCTACACCGAGGCCTTTCGATGCTCGGAGTGCCTGATGGCAGGCGATCGGAAGGCCTGCCTCTTGCATTTGCCTCCCAAGTAGCCTTACCATGGCACGTTGCAGACTTAAGCTGAAATCTAATTTGGTGCTCCCTCCCAAACCAGCTTCCCCTATTTTTTCCCGCTAATTTTTGGGTTTAGGCAATACAACCCCACCAAGACTCCTTGACAGTGTAACGTCCCCTGCCAGGTCAGGGTGACGTTCGCCGGCGACGTCTGGGCAGCCGCCGTCTCGTTGTTCGAGATCTGCTCACCTGCAAAAGCCTCGCTGTGGACGGTCTCTCCCAAGACGTTCGTGCGGGAGACGGAGGAGCAGACAGCTCAGGCCATTCGAGAGATGGCCATCGCAAAGAGTGCCAAGGTGATGCCGTTCAATCAGAACATGGTGGACGTTCTGGAGAAGGTCTTCCTACCGGCCAGCCGAAGACTGTCGTTGTCGGGCATGCTTCAGAGCATCCAAAGAGACCGACGAGCACTCGGCCAGGCCCGATCGTTTTGAACGGCCTGCCTGTTTGGTCGCTGAGAAGCAGGGTCGTTCGATGCAAGCCGTTCGAAGCCCTTCGCAAGGAGCTCAGAAGAGCTCCCGTTTTTCATTGCTTTACGAGTCAAAAGAGACCTTCGCTTTGAGCTTTGGCCTAAGTAGTCAAGCACAGCTTCGAGTCTAAAGCTTGTCCTAGGCCTCGAAGCCTTTTCCTGCTGCCAGGTGCTCGAGCGACCTGCTCTTCTTCGCCGAGAAGTTCGCAGCTACAACTCCTAATCCTAAAGCCCTCAATTTTCAACCTTAAGGAATTCAGACCCCAGCTCTTCAACCCTTCTCTTGGGCATCAAAAGTTTGCGACACTCGCCGTTCGACTTGGGTTTCTATGGCGGAAGGCCCAGGTTTTAAGGATAAAGCTTTAGAGATTTCAGGCCGGGGGATACAGTTTCAAGTCTTCAGGTATATCAAAGGGCTTTCGAGATCCAGGATTCAAGCTTTATTTGGGGTTTCGGTGCCGGTGTAGATTTCCACGTTGTACCAAGGAGCCACTGGGTCTTCTGCAAATTAGTCACAGAAAACAAACAGGTTTTGCAGTCCTACAATAGGCCAGAGATGGTCTGCCACACATACGTTTCAACACCTGCGGCCCTGCACAGACGAGAAGCGACAGTTGTAGCATAACTTTACGTATCTCCAACACCAAGACACTTAAAACAAAGCATCGCCCGCTTATTCACGTACCGAATAGGCCGTGGCTTTAAAACAACTCTGTTTACAGAGAGTTTCACACCGGGGTTGCACAAAACTGTTTTAAATTTCGATACCACAAAGGCTTCAAAACGACATCACAAAAGCATTACAACCGATAGCCCAACATGACGACGTTTTTTAGTGCAGTTTTGAGCCGTGCCCATCCCGGCACCGACTATGCCAAAACCTGACGCTTATCCTTCCCTACTTTTGGCGCTCCCTATTAGCCCGCCCAACTTCTGGGTTTGAAACCCTACTTGGAGGGTCGGGGACTTAGTAAGTAGGTAGTAAATAGGCTTATAAGTACCCTAAAAGGGGCCCTAATTGGGGTTATGGTACTTATAAGCCTATAAAATAACCAGTTATACTAAGTCCCCCGACCTTCCAAGTAAGCCCTAAACTCTAAAGGAGTTTGGTCTTTGATTCACGCTGAACCTGGAAGCTCATGCGATGATTCGTTCCCAGAGACTCCAATATCCCTTAATTAAGGAATATACCTTAAGTTATAGTAGGATCCCTAATATGATTTAAGGAATATTCCTTAATTAAGGGGTATTGGAGTCTCTGGGTTCTGAAGTTCCGATTTGGAGCTGCGTTCTTCTCAGACCATACGCCGTGAGACCCTGCTCTCTTCTGATGTAGTATTTAGGGATAGCAAGGTGGGCCGTGGGAGCCTCATCGGAATGCTAGCGGGCGTTCGGTAGACTCTCTAAAAGCATCGATGTAATCTGTTCAGCTTTTGCGCTTGCCTTTGTCCGACTGGAAGCTACTAACAGTCTAGACCCTAAACCCAAAAGCTAAACCCTATACACCTAATATTTAGCAGTCCGTTTTCCAGTTTTCCAGCGTGGCTACTCGTGGCGCGGCTTTCCATTACGGTGAGCCCGCTGAGTCTCCAAATGTGGATACACTTGGGTTTAGGGTCCCTAAACCCTAAACTCCTAAACTCTAAACCGATACGGTTTGGGGTTTAGGGACTGTAGCTCTCCGAATGCCTGCGTTTGCAAAAGAGCGTACCGTTCTGATACTCCCTAAACTTATTAAACCCATGTTCCTAGGCCCTAAGCCGTAAACCCAACCCTATACTCGATCAAGTACTTCAAGAATCCCGTATCCATGTGGTGTACCGTACATTCCGAAGGTGTCTTTCTTCGAGCAGCTGTCATCCGAGGCAGCCCTGTGTTCTAGTTTTCTACTATTCGCTTAAGAACCCCCCAAAAGATAAAAAATATAATCCCTATATTATCCTTATAAGGAATCTATGTTTTATTTTTTGGGGGTTCTTAAGCAAATAGTAGTTTTAGGGTGTAGGGTTTACGAGGCTAAGGCTAAGGCGGCTAAGGCTCAGGGTTTTGGTTTAAGGTTTCTGATGTGGCGTTTAGAATTCAGCGCGTCTTTGGCTTAGGCTAAGGTTGGGGTTTAGGCTTAAGGTTTTGTTTCATCTTTTCGGGGTGAAGGTTTGCAGTGTAGGGTTTAGGTCGTCTAAGATCTAAGCTAAGGTGTAGAATTCGGGGTTAGGATATGAGGGTCAGGTTTCAGGCTTAGGGAACACTTAGAGGATCAGGGTAAGTGAATTTCTGAGTGGGTGGATTGGAGTTATAAGTAGATATAACTGTAGCTAGCTTACGTATAACCCTACTTTCTAAGTCTCCTGAACCTCCAAGTAACATTAAAGGAAACGTTGGGACTAGGGTTTGGGGTTGCTGAAAGCGGCTTTTGGATGGGAGGACCATCAGGAGTACACTTCGTTGGAATGAGGTCTAAACCCAACATTCAGCGAACCGAATGGCTATTACAGAAAGCACGGAGGACCCTAAGCCCAAAAACCTAAACCCTATTACCTAAACCTTAAACCGTAGATACCCTAAGCCCTAAATCTTATAGTTATACCCTATACCCTAAACCGCTAATCCTGAAAGCCTTCGTAGAAGAAGTACATGCGGGCAGAGGCAGCAGTTGACTCGAAGGGCCCTAAACTAGACCCAAACAGCCGGGTTCTCTTGTTTTATGAAACTTACGCAAATAGACTGTGTCTTGGTAGGAAAAGCCTGCTTAATTCACTGTGTTTGGGGCATATGGTACATGTCCCTAAATATGCCTCATCGTAGCATAAGTTCACTTCGCAGAGAGAGCCGACCGGAGTTGATCATGCTTTCTTGTTCTGATAGTCTAAATCCCAAACACTTAAGGCTGACACCCAAACCCTCAAACCCTAAAACATCCTGCCCTAAACCCAAGCCCTAAAGCTTTGAACCCTAAAACCCTAAACCCTCTTGCCCTAAACCCAAGCCCTACAAACCTAGAACCTCTTGGCCTTAACCCAAGCCCTCAAACGTAAAACCCTAAACCCTCTTGCCTTGAACCCTAAAGCCCGATAGGGTTTAGGGTTTTCAGGGTTTATATAAGGTTTTTTTGCAAGACCCCAACACCCTAAACCCTAAACCCTAGTCCCTAAGCTTCGAGCTTGTGGAGTTTCGTAGGATGGCGCGAGTTCAGGGTCACGGTGCTGAAAATGAAGCCGCGGCGGCGGGGGGTTCGGGTTTCGGGTTTCGGGGTTCAGGGCCCTGAACCCTAAACCCTAAACGGCTTGGTTTAACAGGGGCCAAAGAAAACGGTTTGGGTTCGCGTCGGTTTTGGGTTACTTAAAGGATCATGGGACTTAGTAACTAGGGTTATTATTGGGGTAACGATACTTATACCTACTTAGAACCCCAATTAAGGGACTTATAGCTATAGTTACTAAGTCGCATGATCCTCCAAGTAGGGTTTCGTGCGTAGGGTTGAGGGACTCGACTCTGGGAACTTCCAGGATCCAACATGGGTAGTTGTCAAAATTGTTTGCTAGGGCACCCAAAAGGCACATGAAAAAGGATTTTGGTGGTTTTGGGCTTTGGGTTTCAGGCTCAGGGTTTAGGATTTATAGGGCTTAGGGGGTTTCGGGTTCAGAGTTTTGGTGGTTTTATATTTGACCCTTAGACCCCCTCAGCCGCTAACCCTAAGCCCCTGAGCCCAAAGAGTTTAAGCTTTAGGGCTAAGGCTTAATTAGACCTACTGGTCATAGGAGGGAGGATCGCGAAGCTTATGTAACTTCTGGTTTAGGGTGGGTCCAGGGTTTCCTCATAAGGGGCTCGAACGGGTCTTCCCCAAATTGTCTTTCTTGCACACCATGGGTTTTATACTGGGGTTTGGCGTTTCGGGTTTAGGGTTCAATTTATGGGCTCAGGCTTCATCCAAGCCTTGCATCACTTTCGCAAGCCTGCGCAAGTATATCGTGCAAGGTGCACGGATGTGGTTGTGAGAGATCAGATTGCTGTTCTTTGGACCATGGAAGGCTGCACCTACCTCCGAGCATGTGTCGGATTCTGCTGTTTCTCAGCAGTCCAGCGCCATCTGGATTTTCAACGGCATTTCTGGAGCCAAATCTGTAGACTTCCGCGAGCAGAGCCCGAAAGCCTCCGCAAGAGCATTCGGCGATGTCAGTGATGCCGCTCGCTCAGGGCCTTGCAACCCCGTTCCAGAACGAAGAGGAAACGTAGTGGCAACAACATGGGTCGTCTTGAAAGTTGCATTGAAGGACCTAAACCCTAAACCAGGTGTCCACAACCCCAAGCCCTAAGACCCTACACCCTCAGCCGGAGACTTCAGTCCGACCCCATGGTGTCTGCAGAATATGTTGCTTTGCTTACCTTCTAAAACGTCAGACTTCCTGAGCCAGAGATCAGAACTAAACCCTAAACGCCTAGCAGCTTCGTAGGTGACCTTTAAACTTTTGAGGTTGATATAATCCTACCATAATTGCAAAGGTTAGCTTTTTTGGGCTAGGGTACTCAACCCCGAATAAACCCGTAGACCCTAAAGTCAACTCAACTTTCACAATAGCGCAAAAGTTCTTAACCCTAAACCCTAAACACCTAGAACCCTAAGCCCTAAACCCAAAACCCCTAAAGCCCGAAACGCCTAGAGATCCCTCCCTATAGATCCCTTTAAAGGAACCCCAAGCAACCCTAAGCAAAAGACGACGGCGCCAACCAGGTCCATAGTCGTTTCGAGCAAGTCGGCGCCGACTTCAAAGAGCTCGAATCCAGGCGCTGCGGGTTTCCGAAATTGGGGGCTCCTTTAAAGGGTTCCTATAACGATACTATATATAGTATCCTTGTAGGAACCCTTTATAAGGGCTCCTTAAAAGGAGTCTTTAAGGGTTCAGGTGCCGGGAGTTTTTGCTTTGAAAGGTTTAGCGATTTAGGGTGTAGTGTCTTTGGGTTTGGGGTTGAGGCGCTTTGGGTTTGGGGTTTAGGGGCTTTGGGTTTGGGGTTTAGGGTTTAGGGTCTTTGGGTTTGGGTTGCGGGTTTAGGGGCTTTGGGTTTGGGGTCCAGGAATCTCCGTGACCCGCGCAGTTTCGGAAGATATCTTGTAGGTCATGTTAAGGATCCTCCGATGATTCGCAGGTATATTGCCCCCGCCCCAGACTCCTATACCCCGAAGCCCTAACCCCTAAACCCTATATCCCTAAACTCCTGAAGCGAAGTCCCGAAACCTTATAACGCGAAACTCCGAAGCGAGGTCCCCAACCCTCAAACCCTAAACTCTTAAACTCCCTAAATCCCAAAACCTCTATAACCTTAAACCCCCCAAACCCCTTAAACCCCTCTGTATCCCTTAGAGGAACCCTTATGGATCCCTTAAAGGAACCCGTTAAGGAATAGTATAACCCTACTTGGAGGTTCAGGGGACTCAGCAAGTAGGGTTATGGGTACCTTAATTGGGGTTGTAAGTAGATATGACTATAGTTACCTTACTTATAAGCCTGGCTACTAAGTCCCCCGAACCTCCAAGTAAACCCACCAAAACCTACTTTTTTGTAGGGTCCCTATAAGTTCCATATTAAAGTATATAATAAGAACCTACAGAAAATGGGGTTTGGTAGGCTAAAGTAAACCCGCAAAGTGGAGGCTCCAGTCTCAGATGGCGGCGCGGCAACTCGAGCTGGCCGAGGGTTTGGAAGGCGCGTGGTAAGGCTAACATAGGGCTTTCAATAACTACCTATTACTATTTGGGGGTTCCTGTAAAGGGTTCCATAAGGATTCCTTACAGGGATCTATACTAGGGTTTTATAGTATAGGGGCCTCAATAATTACCAATACTATTTTGGAGATTCCTTGTTATCATTACAGTATAATAAGCACCAAAACCTTCTTCTGATGATTAAGGCTCCTTGTATTAGGGCTTTAGGGGTGTAGGGCTTGGGGCTTTAGCGTGTTAGATGTTAGGTTTGGGGGCTCGAGGTCTGTAGGGTTCTAGAGCTTTAGGGGTTTAGGGGTTTAGGGGTTCAGGGTTTCGGGCTTTAGGGCTTAGGGCTTTAGGGTTTAGGGCGTTAGGGTTCAGGGTTTAGGGATTTAGGGTTCAGCGCTTTAGGGTTTTGGGTTTCCGGGAAGTTTTATGGTTTAATTGAGGGTTTGGGAGTTTCGGGATTAGGGTCGTCAGACAAATGTTGTTTGCACATACCCCCTAAGAGGCGTACACTCTAGTATGCAATATTAACTTCAAGTGTAGTACGCAGTAGGCAGGCACAACGGCCTGTGGTGCCCACTAAAAGACAAAGCGTGATGCAACCCTTTAAATTACTTTACTACCACTGAAATGCCACCAAAATACAAAGGGTGGAGCAGCCGCCGCCAGCTTGTGGTGCCGAGGAGTGCCGCGTAGGGCCGAGTAGGGCTGAGTAGTGCCGGGAAAGGGTGGGGCAGACATTGGGGTGCCTTCAAATTACTCTACTACCACTGAAATACCACTAAATACAAAGGGTGGGGCAACGGAGAAAGACGGCCTGTGGTGCCGAGGAGTGCCGAGTAGGGCCGAGTAGGGCCGAGTGGTGGCGGGAAGGGGTCGGGCAGACATTGGGGTGCCTTTAAATTACTCTACTACGACTGAAATACCACCAGGCAACGCAGCCTGTGTGTGGGGCCGCGTAGGGCCGAGTAGTGCCGGGAAGATGGAGCAACCGCGGCAAGCCTGTGGTGCCGAGAAGTGCCGCGTAGGGCCGAGTAGGGCCGAGTGGTGCCGGGAAAGGGTGGGGCAGACATTGGGGTGCCTTTAAATTACTCTACTACCACTGAAATACCACTAAATAGAAAGGGTGGGGCAACGGAAAAGGCCTGTGGTGCCGAGGAGTGCCGAGTAGGGCCGAGTGGTGCCGGGAAGGGGTCGGGCAGACATTGGGGTGCCTTTAAATTATTCTACTACCACTGAAATACCACCAACCAACGACGGCCTGTGGTGCCCACTAAAAAACAAAGCGTGATGCAACCGAGGAAGCCTGCGGTGCCGAGGAGTGCCGAGTAGGGCCGAGTAGTGACGGCGTGTGGAGCCGAGTAGTGCCGAGTAGGGCCGAGTAGGGCCGAGTGGTGCCGGGAAGGGGTCGGGCAGACATTGGGGTGCCTTTAAATTACTCTACTACCACTGAAATACCGAGGACGGCCTGTGGTGCCGAGGAGTGCCGAGTAGGGCCGTGTAGGGCCGAGTGGTGCCGGGAAGGGGTCGGGCAGACATTGGGGTGCCTTTAAATTACTCTACTACCACTGAAATACCACCAAAATACAAAGTGCCGGGAAGGGGTCGGGCAGACATTGGGGTGCCTTTAAATAACTGAAATACCACCAAAATACAGCCTGTGGAGCCGAGTAGTGCCGAGTAGGGCCGAGTGGTGCCGGGAAGGGGTCGGGCAGACATTGGGGTGCCTTTAAAGTAAATTACTCTACTACCACTGAAATACCACCAAAATAGCGAGTAGGGCCGAGTGGTGCCGGGAAGGGGTCGGGCAGACATTGGGGTGCCTTTAAATTACTTTACTACGAAGGGGTCGCGCAGACATTGGGGTGCCCTTAAATTACTCTACTACCACTGAAATACCACCAAAATACAGCCTGTGGAGCCGAGTAGTGCCGAGTAGGGCCGAGTAGGGCCGAGTGGTGCCGGGAAGGGGTCGGGCAGACATTGGGGTGCCTTTAAATTACTCTACTACCACTGAAATACCACCAAAATACAGCCTGTGGAGCCGAGTAGTGCCGAGTAGGGCCGAGTGGTGCCGGGAAGGGGTCGGGCAGACGTTGGGGTGCCTTTAAATTACTCTACTACCACTGAAATACCACCAAAATACAGTTTGTGGAGCCGAGTAGTGCCGAGTAGGGCCGAGTAGGGCCGAGTGGTGCCGGAGGGGTCGGGCAGACATTGGGGTGCCTTTAAATTACTCTACTACCACTGAAATACCACCAAAATACAGCCTGTGGAGCCGAGTAGGGCCGAGTGTGCCGGGAAGGGGTCGGGCAGACATTGGGGTGTCTTTAAATCAAAGGTTTCACTGTGCATGCTGGCTGGATCTGCCTGCTTGCTCACTCTTGCCTGCTGGCTAAACTCTCTTATGTTGGTGAACCTGCTGGCTCGATTTTGTTGTGTTTGCGAGCCTGCTGGCTCGATTGTCTTGTGTTTGCGACTTAATTTGCAAAGCTTGTCTCGGAAAGCACTCTTGTTTTCCTCTGCCAGCCGGTCTCTCCAGAGTCGCAAGCACACTGCTGGATGTAGCCGAAATACCAGACGGGATGACTGTTTTTGTTCCTTGTCTCTGCTATTTATTCCATCTGATATTCAAGCACATCTCAGCTCTGCTTCGGCTTCTTCATTTTCAAAGCTCTCTGAGCCCACGAGAAGCAAATGAAAAAAGCCTGAGCTTGCGATCGCTTCTTCGGCGCGATCGCGCTGCCAGAAGAGCGATTCTCATCCACCAGATCTTCTCGAAGATCTGGATTGTAAGAGGCAGCGCAAGAGCCCCTGAGACGAGTGGTCACTGCCAAAGGCAAAAACATTCCACATGGCTAAGATTTGAATCTAACTTAGCAGACTAAACAAGAAAACAGATGATGCAAAAAGCAGACCAGCGGCTTTCCCTCGAACGTATTGCCACCGAGAAGACGGGCCTGGAAGTGAGGCAGAACTTGGTCTTTGGTCACGGCGTGAACAAAGACGACTTTGTCCTTCTCCAGGAGCCCATACTTCGAGACAAGAAAGGCAGGAATCGCAGCAGTGCTCACAAGCATTGAGCGGCCCTTCTCTGCCTTCTCGCGATTCTGACCATCTGTGTTCTGCCTCTGAGCATCTTCCTTTGTTTCGTCGAGCGGGTGTTAAACCATAGACTGCCAAGGCTTGCACATATGTGCAGTATGAAGAATGACCAGACTGCATATGCTAAGACGGCGAACTTAGATTTATAATAAATAAAATACTTTGCTAATTCAGTATGCAGCCAGGGCACAGCCTGAGCACCATCACTTGCATCGAAGAGATTGCTGTGCTTCTGCTCTTCCTGCAAAGTGGCATCACAAACTTTGTGGGCGGTGGCTATCATGAAGTCTCTTACTATTTCATGACAATATGTCTCGCGGGGACGAGGTTGGGTTTTCCAATCAAGAGTCAATGAACTGAATATGCACATGTCTTCTCCTGCTCCATGCCTCGCAGCAGCTCTGCAGCAGCTGCCCATGCAGGATCCTGGGGTTCCAGTGGATCCTGTGCCTGCATCAGAAAAGCAGTCAGTATGGATTTTTCAATGAAGCAAAATTTGGGCGATGCACTGATTTCGAAGACCAGCAGTACTAGTTATGACTGCGACATGCGAAAGGATTGAAAGAAGAGACAACACAGGTGTGTCTGCACTGTGTGCAAACGTTTGCCTCGTCATCCGGCTGCTCCTCCTCATCGTCTTCGGCATCGGCGGCAGCGGCATCGATCTTCTGCAGTCGCTTGTCATCCAGCTGCTGGCAATGCTCCAGAATCTCATCGATGCGGCTCTGCTTCACGTGCTGTTTCACGACAGCCAAGGAGCAAACGGCACGGATCTTCTGAGTCTTTGTGGCGCTCTTTCTGAGACTTGACCCTGCTTCATCCAAGACGCGTGAAAGAGCATCTGAAGTCAGACTCAGAATCCCTCCGGATTTCATCAGAGCTGCCACCAGAGGCAGGTCGTTCTGGCACCGTCGCAGAAGATAGCCATCCGGGCTGAGGTGCACCGAGTAGTTGAAGACTCGCACCTTCAGCTCAGGATCAGCTCTCAATCTTGCAAAGAATGTGGTCACAAACAGAACCTAAGCTCTGCGTCTTTTTTCCAGGCAGCCTGCCAGAACTTCGTGAGGAGCAACTGCAAGGGCTTCCTTTGCAGCATTTTCATGATTGAGCTGAATGAACAATGAACAACTGCCTGTGATGTGAACATGCGAAAACATATGCAACCCCAACTTCTCTGTTTCAGCTATGAACTGAAGCCAAGGTACTCGTTCACCTCAACCTTCAGAGCCCTGACAAACTCGTTGGTCTGCAAAGGATCCTGCTGCTCCCGGCTCGAAGTGGGCACCTCCTGCTCATTCAGCGTCTCGGGCGGCAGCTCTCCACAGAACTGCAAGTCCAGCTCTTGCAGGGGCAGTGCCTTTCCGTAGATTCGGTGGGGCAGAGCAAAAAAAATCTTGTCTGATCCAGAACTCTGCACATCTAACGTCTTGCAGGCAGGATGCATGGCAAACAGCTGGGGTGGAGCCGACAGAAAGGAAGTACTTGCCCCCCTTCTCAAGACTGAACAGCATGCCACGTTGGCAAAGCGGAGGCACCCAGAACGATCTGGCGGCAACCTCCACATCGATGCCCATCCTCAGTATCAATACAGATTAGCTTATTTACTCTCCAAACAGCAAGAGCACGGGAAAGCCACAGTCTGGCTGTTCTTCAGGCCAGGATCTTGTCGGCCAGCAGAAGTCCCTGCATGTTGTTGAGGTGGAGCTTGTTGTGGTTGAAGGCAGTCGTGCCGGTGTTGTCCTTCAAGAGGTCATCCAGGGACATCTCTTTTCCTCAGTTTTTGCAGACAGAGGGAGCGGGTTGAATACCAACAAACACACACACACACAGACAGACATGCACATATGATATATACTGCTTTTTGCTCTGCTCTTGGAGATTTCGAGACAT